CTTCACAGCCTCAAAGAGAATCAATCTCAGAGCCCCAACTGCTGATCACCACCCCCGCCCCTGCTTTGAAATGGGAAAACAAAGCCCCAGAAAAAGAGAAGGGGAGCCTATGCAAATTGCAAAAAAATGTTTTTTACAAAAGACATTAGCAGAATGAATTGACCATAGAACTGAAAAGTTTGTTTGATAACAAGACAGTAGAATAAAACCATGGACATATGTATGAAATTTTTTGGAACTGTTTTTTTTTCTCATTTTGTTTTGCGCAGACACAATCTTGTGTTCTCTCCTCATATCTCTTTAAATCACAAGAGTGCTCTAACTCTGAGCTGCAGCAAGTGGTTAAGAGAACTGTGGACAAGTGCGTTGTTGCCTCCCCCAGTGGTTGCCATGGGAGTCGAACCACAGGGTTAGCCGGGGGAGGAGTGAGCCAGCTCTTGGGGGCAGTTTTCCCTCCTGAGTCCAGGATATAAGACGACGGTGCTCCTCGTTGTTCCTGTCGGTATCGAGGGACAGCTTTCCGGTGACCACTGGTTGGGCATGGTGGTGACTCACGTTTTAATATGCGGATGCCATGTAGTTCTGCATTTCGGGGGGAAGAGGGGCATGGTCCTCACCTTCCCTCTCGGATCCTCTTGGAGCAAACGGTTTTACAACCTGACATTTTATGTAAAGGCAGCTGCTGAGACCGCTCAGTGGTTCAACTGTCACCCAGCCGAGGATGGGACCCACTGTCCTGCAGGTGCTAACAGCATTTGAATCACCAGACTCTAGAGCAGTGGTTCTCAACCTTCCTAATGCCACGACCCTTTAATACAGTTCCTCATGTTGTGATGATCCCCAACCATCAAATTATTTTCATTGCTACTTCATGACTGTCATTTTGCTACTGTTATGAATCTTAATGTAAATATCTGGTATGCAGGATGTATTTCCATTGTTATAAATTGAACATAATTAAAGAAGAGTGATTAATCACAAAATACGTAATTATATATTGTGAGATATTTGTGTTTTCCGATGGTCTTAGGGCAACCCCTGTGAAAGGGTCATTCAACCCCCGAAGGGGTTGCGACCCACAGATTGAGAGCCGCTCCTCTATAGTCTATATATATTTAAACCCATAATAAAAATAACCTTTGGTTTAAATACCCTACTTTCCTGAACACCACCTGCTAGGTCGTTGCCCTCATGGAAGTAAATGGCCTCTGCATATAACCTCTGCCATGCAGACCATTGCTCTGCCAAACGAAACCCACGAGCTACCACCCCTGGAATATGCTGCTGATCGTTGAACTGGCTGCTGGCTTGCCAAGCCCTGCACCTTTACCCCCTACGCCCATCCTCCTGCACCTCACCAGCCGAGCTGTGCTGCAAAGGCTCTCGAAGGTTCCCGAATGTCCCCGCTGGCCCGTACAGCTGCCCTGCAGATACACCCAAGTTGTTGGTCATTCATCTACATCACCGTGTCCATCTCTGGGAAAGGAAAAAACTGAATGTATTTTTCGGCCTTTGCCCAAGTCCCTTTGATTTCACTTCTATGGGCATTCTCTACTCAGTATCTTTCCGTCCTTTTCTTTACATGTGTTTTCCTCACTTTCCTTTCTGGAATGCTATTGCCGTGGATGGGTACATGAGGAAGTTGGGTGTGAGGAAACTTTTATCCAGTGGTGAGGGTTACTGAGATGGGTTCTCGCACAAGTCTCTACGTAACCTGTGGCAGGGGTGGCATCTATTTAGAACACTGCCAGAGTGGGGAATGTGGGAGACACAGCCCTCCACCCTCATGGCACTGAGACCCCACACTCCCACTGCCTGGAAGGGTCCAAGTTGAGAGGGAAAAACATGCCTCAAGGTTATTTTGTAACCTTGAGAGCATTCGTGGTTCCCCCAGACAGTCCGGACATGGATACAATTAGGACAATTCTTCTTGGGTCGGGTTCAAAACTGTTCACCCACAGCCAAAGTTGGGGTGGTTGGTTTTTGGGGTTTGGAGAAAGAGGGGTGCCTCGGGTCCTCACGCTCCTGTTCTCGGTCTGCCTGGTGGTGGTTGGCTGGGGGTGAAATCCTGACAACCAGAATTGCATGTGAATGATGCCTTTTTTTGCTGCTGATTTTGAACGCTAACGAGTTTTGTTCTATATTTTATTCCCCCTCCTCCCCGTGTAGTTTGAAGTGGTTTGCATTGTCAATTAATGGGGGTGGGGGGGTGGCAAAACAAACAAACAACCTTTCTCTGTGGCCTTGCTTCCCATCCATTGCTCTGTGACTGCCTGCGGCACGAGGCAGAATGTCGGGTGGAGCAACGTCCTCTTGCTCTGGAAGCATCTAGAGAGTCTTCAAAGAGCAGCTCCGAAGGCCATCTCCATGGTGGTGCCAAAGTCAGCCACACAAACCCTCATGGTCAACGTGTCCCTCCCTCTGGGTAGTCTAACCCCAGTGGCGTTTTGCAGGGTCCCCTTCCTTGGGTCTCAGCACATAGCACAGGCTCACATGACCCTTGGTTCCCCTGTCACCCTGAGTCAACAACGCTTCAGGCGTGGGACAGGAGTGGCCTGGCCTGGCTGCCGCCTTGACGCCCCATTTGAAGGGAGAAGTCCATGGCCTGCTCTGTATCATGTACTTGGAGGTCACTTGTTGGCCGCTGGCATGGGGACTGTGTGTGAATGTGTGCTTGATTGTGTTAACTGAACTCTGAATCAAATGTTTAAAATGTTGGGTACGTTTTACCTCCCCTCACCTTCTGCACGTGATGCAACATGATTGAATTTAGAATGAACTCTAGCATACCTGTCATTACCTCTGAAAACATTACGTTCTTTTCTTGCTAGGACAACTTCTCAGGAAGGTTCAGGCTGGTACCCTGCCCAAACCACGGCTGTGTGGGGTCAGAGGGCCCTGCCACACTTCACTCGCCAGCACTGGACTTGCGCTGTCCTTCTTTGAAATTAGGTAGTGACCACTGAGGGCAGAGGGAGTGCAACACCCAGCCTCCCCCACCCCATGCCCACCGCCCATGCAGTCTGAAGACACCACCCCCCACCTCCCTATTCCCCAATTTGATTTTAAACACTCTTCTGTTCGGGCATCTAACCTTTGTGTATAGAACCTAGATCACTCAACCTTGATGGCTTTATGCCAACCTTGTGTGGAAGTCCCGCCCTTTACCAGCTTGTCACCTCTGCAGAACAGAAATTCAGGCTCCTGTTCAGTACCTCAATGGCCATGTTGACTACAGCCAAACAACTCCTTTCTTTGTGTGTGTGTGTGTGTGTGTGTGTGTTTGCAACCAATGATTGCTTTTCAGGAATCGCATGATTTCCATACAAGTGCCTTTATTTCCGGATTGTTCCTGAGAAGGTTAAGGTATGTGTGTGTCTGAGGCCCCAGAAAGAGTGGTGTGTCAGGTGCAGGGTAACTCCAGACACGAAAATGACCTCTGCAGACCTTGTAAATAGATTGTCTCCCCCCTTACTTTTGTCCCACCCTGTCCATTTTTATCTGGACATCGATCACGGGGGTCACATATTGACAAGCCACTCGGCATTCTCAGCCACAGCAGGCCCTATAGCCTGAAATGTACCAATGGGCCAGAACTGGAAGCCTGCCTTTTCTGCTATCCCAGGAGTGGGGAGAAAGGGACTAATATTGTGCCAAAGTGATAAGCAGCATCTGACTGACAATAACATGCTGACCATCACATGCTGCGATGGTTTTTAAGGACCCGGTGGCACCCTTCCATGAAGTGATCTTGTAGCAGAAACTATGGATCACAAATGACCGGGTTTTTCTTTCTGTTTGTTTGTTTGTTTTGTAATAACAGTAGCAAGTAAATCTCCAATAAAATTATGGCCTGGTCACTTTGTTGGCATGATCCAACTCAAACGTAGGCAACAAGGAAATTGCCACAGCAGAAATGACCCCTGAAGAGAGCCTTGAGCCAGTGTGGTCTGCTTTGACCCCTGCTGAGGGCAGACCGAGTTCCAGTTCACCCAGATGCCATGAATCGGAATCTCGATTTCCACTGGATCCCTGGGGGATGTGGGACTCCAGAGAGCATGTAGGTTTAAAATTCAGGGGGGGGTGGGGGGTGGGGGGTGGAGGAAATGGACTGGTTCAGAGTGGCTGCCCAAATGTTTTCAGTTCCAGGTTGAAGGAGACAAGGGATGCAAAATGGCACTACAGAATCTCATTAAATTGAAAATGTTGCTGTGCAGGATTTGTTTCATGCTCTTTGCAGAAGGATAGTAACAAGCTTGTGTCCCCATTTTATGCTTTGAATAATCCCCTGCACCCCACCCTGGCCTGTGTTTGTCAGGGTTCCTGACATTCTGAGGGCCCCCACCAGGTTGTCTTGTGTAGGATCAGTTTGAGGCCCTCCATTATCCTCAAAACAAACTCGCCTCCATCGAGTGGATTCCGACTCAGTGACCCTACGGGCCAGGGTGGGTTCTGAGACTACGGGAGTAGAAAGTCTGTCTTTCTACCCCTGGTGGCTGGTTGGTCTCAAACTGCTGACCTTGTGGTTAGCGGGCCAACATGTGACCCCCTGTGCCACCAGGACTCCTGC